ATCCACCAAAACAACATTTTTCTCTGACTGTTTTCTTCCCCAGGCCTCCATTATATGACAAACCCTATTTATAATCTACCAGTTGGGATAATAAATCAAATTCTCTTACTTTGTTCTTGGCCTACTGTAAAATCTGGCTGACCTCAGGCTTGTGGCCATCTAGAGGTTTGATTTATTCCAGATGTGCCATTCTCTAGAACGACATGTCATAATGAAGCCCCAAACTGTCATGGAAAGAGCACTGGACTTAGAGTTCAACTAGATACGATTTCAAATCTCAGCATTAATGAACTTTAAATGATTTCCTGATTTTTTTGATGCTTTAACTTTTTCTCTTGAAGCTCTTAATATCTGCAAAATAAAATCAAAGACTGGCCCTGGCTGATTTGGCTCAGTGGATAGAGCATTGGCCTGGGGACTGAAGGGTCCTAGATTTGATTCCGGTCAAGGGCACATGCCAGGGTTGCGGGTTTGATCCCCGGTGGGGGGCATGCAGGAGGCAGCTGGTGGATGATTCTGGCTCATCATTGATGTTTTTCTCTCTCTCTCCCTCTCTCTTCCTCTCTGAAATCAATAAGAATATATTTTTAAAAAACTCAAAGATTGTACCAGAATGAATTATCCATGGGCAAATATCACTTTGAGTTTTACTGATTGTATTTATTTCCTTTGTTGAACTCCCATTTATAACATCTGTTTTGCTTGATTTACTTGCTTCTTCTAATTTTCTTTTGTTGACTATTTCTATGTACTTATTAAGGAAGCACTTTATAACCCAAACAGTGAACCAGATAGCTGCTCCAGGAAATGTTTGGAATGAGGCAGCTCAATTTAGCTGAATTGTTCTGTGTCAGTGGGTTACAGGAAGGAGTGTGTAAGTTCCCTATGGGGAAACTAGTGAGTTTTCCAGCTTCCCCCTTGTTGAATTTTCATCTTGTATCATCATTATTTTGTTTTAATGAATTCCCAGAACAATAGTTATACCCATCTGAAAATATGACTATAGGACATGTCCCACAACCAAACATAAATTATTTTTGGATTCCCCATACGTTTTCTTTCTATGATTTGTGTGGCTCATGTAGAGTTGCTAGAACTGTGTATTTTAAATAATTTCCTGAATGAGACATGTAAACAGTGGAGAAAAAGGGAAAGGATTCTGCATTATTTTTCAAATTGTCTTCCTCTCTTTCAGTACTAGTTACTATATGGAATTCATGGGCATTTAATAAAATTAAACAAAAAGAAAACCTCCTGCCCCAATTGGTTTGGCTCAGTGGATAGAGTGTCAGCCTGCGGACTGGAGTCCTGGGTTCGATTCCGGTCAAGGGCATGTACACATCCTCAGTAGTGGGTGTACAGGGGGCAGCTGATTGATGTTTCTCTCTCATGATGTTTCTCTCATTGATGTTTCTAACTCTCTATCCCTTTCCCTTCCCCTCTGTAAAAACATCAATAAAATATATTTTAAATAAAGAAATATTAAAATAAAATAAAGAAATATTTAAAATAAAATATATTTTAAAAAAAGAAAACCTCCTGAGGTATGCTACCCTTAGACTCAGTTATTCTAAAATGGTGCTTGTTTTCAGCCAAGATTTCTAGAAACCTGGAATATATATTCCTGACATTGAGTGCTTTTTGTAGGTTCATTGAATGTAGTAAATCCCAGAGTTAGACAAATGTTAGCTGCAAATATTGACTCTAATGCCACCTGCATTTTAAAAGGAAAGTTGATGTGGAGGATGAGGGCAGAGAACATGCCTTCTTTGCATTTTAATTTTTGTACTCAAGTTAATGTTATTTCCACCTCCCCCGGCCCCACATCCCCGTTATTATTCTGTTAAGTTTGGAGTAGCTACAGAAGTGTCAAGTGGAGTTCTTGGGTATTTAGGACTGGAGGTTGAGGTAGAGGTGAGAGCTAGAGAGATAGTAGATTTCCTTAAAGGGTAAAATTAAGTACAGTAGCCCCCTCCCCTTTATCTAGTTTCACTTTCTGCATTTCAGTTATCCGTGGTTAACTGTGGCTCAAAAATAATAAATGGAAACTTCCAGAAATAAATAATTCATAAGTTTTAAGTTGCACACCATTCTGAGTACCATGATGAAATATTGTGCCGTCCTGCTCCATCCCACCCTGGGTGTGAATCATCCCTTGTGCAGCATACCCGTGCTGTATCCACTACCCACCTCAGTTGCCATATATGTTGGGGGGGGGGGGAGAGAGGAGAGAGAGAGAACATAATCACATACATTTTATTACAGCATATTGTTATAGTTATTCTATTTTATTATTATTGTTGTTAATTTCTTACTATGCCTAACATAAATTAAATATTATTATAAGTTTTATTTACAGGAAAAACAGTATGTGAGGGTTTGGTACTATCTGTGGTTTCAGGAATCCACTAGGGGTCTTGGAACATATTCCCCATAGATAAGGAGTGGGGCTTTTGTAAATCAGAGTAAGGTCGGGAAGAAGCTGTTATCTCAGTCAGATCCAGAGCAAAGTAGAAGAGATTTTTTCCCCTTAAAACTAGAGTAAAGACGCTTCTTCCTGGAGATAAGGGGGCGTGGGCAGAGAGATTCAGGATTTCTTTTGTGTTGTTAGTAATAGGAAAAACTGCTAAGGATCCTGTGGAACCTCAGTTTCCCTAGAAGTGCAGCTGAGACAGGGAATTTGTGCATTGTTGCAGGAGGGCTTGGAGAAGGGGAGTGAAGGAAGCAGGATAGAGCCAGAGGGAAGAGTCGAGTGAGGATAAAAGGATTGGGGAACACCAAAGGAACTCTATAAGATCACAAAGCGTGAATTCTTAGTGGCCTAGGACTCACCTGATCCACATAGCATAATTACAGATTTTGTAGCTGAGGAAATGGTTTGATGATCAATGATTTTGTACATTATTAATACCTTTGGGTAAATGACCCTACCTTCCCTTTATGATCACATCAGCATGATAATGTTCCTGGGGAACCTATTGTTTACTTCATATCTGCACAGAGTTCAAGTTATTTGTGCATGTTGGTAATGTATTTCTTTGATTTATATTCATCCTTATCTGCAAGTGAATGGAAGGTTTCCCTTGGAGTATCTGTTCTCTTGGTTTCAACAATCACCTTGATGTTGAAAACTCCCAAGTCTTTGTCTTCCAATCTTCATCTCATCTATCCTAACCAGCATCATTTTTGTATCTGTCCCACTATCCCACAGTGATTTGTACATAGGAGGTGGTTCATAAATGTCACTCACACTTAAGTCAGGCTGATCTCTTTATTACCAGTGAGGTATTGTGAAACTGAACACATGATTTAGAGTTTAACTTTTTTTTAACACTAACTGGGCAAGTTACTTAGCCTCTCTGAGCTTTAGTTTCCTTATCTGCACTAGGAGTGATAATGCCATAACATAGGGACTTTGAAAAATTAAGTGGAAGAGTTCACTTTAAGCACATAAGCCTGAAAATTGATAAGCACCTGGTAAATGTCAGTTCTTTCTCCTTTATGCTCAATGTTTAAAATATTGAATTTATCTGTTATGATTCCAATTTTCAGGCCTATTGCTTAATTTGTCCTATTTAGTTTTTACCATATTCATCACACATGATTCTGATAACCCAGAGTAAGAAGTTTTTTAAAAGTGTTGGAATACCTCAAAAGGAATATTATTTGCCTAATCCAATAGAACTTTCCTGACTATGATTCTCAATCAAGATTTCATTTAAAAAAATTGGAGGGGCCCTAGCCACTTTGGCTCAGTGGATAGAGTGTCGGCCTGCAGACCATGGGGTCTGGGGTTCAATTCTGGTCAAAAGCACATACCTTGGTTGCAGGATCCTCCCTGGGCCAGGCCCTGGTTGGGGCTCATGCAGGAGGCAACCAACTGGTATGTTTCTTTCACATCACTTCTTCTCTTCCACTCTCTAAAAGTCATTGAAAAAGTATCCTCTGGTGAGGATTAACAACAACAACAAAATGTAGGGGAAGAGGGTAGATAACGTAAAGTTGGCTATAATGATGGTTTTTAAAAATCGATAAACTAAGATTTTTTAAATAAAATTTGTATCTGAAGGTTTGCACTTGGGATGTCAAAAATGTTTCATCTTTCATATTAAATTCCTGAGCAGAAAACAACATTGAATAGCATAATATGCCTCTTTCCCCCAGTATTTCTGTGCATTTATGTTGTGTTAGGAGCTCTGGGAGACTCAGAGGCATAAGATAATGTTTCTTGACTCCCAAATGGCCACCACATTCTCAATACTGATGTGTAGTTTTTACTTCACTTGATTACTTGTGAATTACTGTGAGTTTTGTACATATGTCCTCATTTGGTGTGTGTGCTTGCATTGTTCTAAAAATAACTGCTTTCAGCTACATGTTAAGGGTAGAGGTACATTACATTTATAGGGTAACTGAAGATACTAAGTAGTTTGCATGTCTGTATTGTCAAAAGAAGAGTATAAAAAAACCCCATAAGATTAAATATAACCCAAGAGGCGAAAACTACCCACATGCCCATCAACTGATGAATGGCTAAACAAAATTGGTATAGCCATACAATGGGTATTATTCAGTCCTAAAAACGAATGAAGTACTGATACATGCTATAATATGAATAAGCCTTGAAAATATGAGAAGTGGAAGAAGCCAGGCTCAGAAGGTCATATAGTGTATGATAACATTTGTATGACATATCCAGAGTCAGCCAATCATAGAGACAACAAGAGAATGGAGGTTATATGGTGCTGGAGTGAGGATGGGGAGTTATACTTACTGGATACAGAGTTTCTGTTTGGGGTGATGAAAATTTTCTGGAAATTGCTAGTGATGATGATTGTGCAACATTGTCAGTGTACTTAATGCTGCTGAATTGTCTAGTTTAAAAATAGGTCAAATGGTAAATTTTATGTTATGTGTATTTACCACAGTTTTTAAAAAGAATAAATGTTAAGGAGCTTGGAGGTCATTATAATAAGCCTCCTGTTCTTCTTTCTACACAGGAGCCATGGATAATAGAGGCTTTCAGCAGGGATGTTTCAATAGCTTCCAGAGCAGCTCCAGTGATGAAGACTTGGTGGACATACCAGGGACAGCTATGAATTTCTCCCTGAGAGATGATGTTCCTCCCTTAGATGGAGAAATAGAAGGTATCATTGTTGCTGATGAGAATTTATCTTTTTAAACTTATTTTTAATGTGCATATAAGAAAATTTATTTTCTGGTGCATAGTCCAATGAGTTTTAACCCATGCATAGATTCTGGTATCCACCATCATCAACAAGATACAGAACAGTTTAACACGCCCTTTGTAGCCAGACCTCCCTACTCCCAACCCCTGGTAACCACTGATCTATTCCCTTCCCTTATGGTTTTTCATTTTCAAAAATGTCATATAAACCATGGCTGGTATGCTCAGTGGTTAGGGCATCCACCCAGCCAGCAAAGGGTCACAGGTTCAATTCTGGTCAAGGGCACGTACCTGTGTAGCAGTTTGATCCTGGGGGCCCAGATGAGGATTAAAAAAAAAAATGGAGCTGCATAGTATGTTACCTTTATTTTTTTAAAAAAATTATTTTATTGATTTCAGAGAGGAAGGGAGGAGAGAGAGAGACACATCAATGATGAGAGAGAATCATTGATCAGCTGCCTCCTGCACTCCCCCTATTGGGGATTGCAATTCGGGCATGTGCCCTGACCAGGAATTGAACCATGACCTCCTGGTTCATAGGTCGATGTTCAACCTTTTGAGACTGACCTCATTTACTCAGCTTAACACTTTGGAGATCCATCCAATTTGTTCATTCATTTTTCTGGCCGAGTAGTATAGCATGGACTGGGATTGCTGGGTATGTTGAACTTTATAAGAAACTGCCAAACCATTTTTCAGAGTGGCTGTACCATTTTGCATCTAAACTAGCTATGTATGATAGTTCTATTTGTTCAACATCTTCAACAGTTTGGTATATTTCATAATTTTTATCTTAGCCATTCTAATAGATATGTAGTGTTATCTCAGCATGGCTTTAATTTAATATCCCTAATGCCTTATGATGTTGACCATCATTTTATGTGCTTATTTGCTAACCTTATATCCTCTTTGATGAAGTGTCCAAATCCTTTCTCCTTTTTTTTTTTTATCATTGGGTTTGTTTTTTAGTATCTGGAATACATTAATACAATGAGAATTCCCCTCATCTATTTTTTTTTTTTTGGTTGTGATTAATTTGTTATGCTCTTGTCAATTCATTTTTTTAAAATTTCTTTATTGATTAAGGTATTAACTTTGGCTACCCATTAATATCATTCTTTTCGATGGCTGCACACAATTTCATAGTATAGTTGTATCATGGTTTATTTAACCAAGATCTTATTGATATATATTTCAGTTTTTTTCCCAGTGTTTTGCTATTACAAGCAGTGCTGTAATGAACAACTTTGTGTGTGTGTGTGTATACACAGATATCTTCTATGTATATGAAAGTGTGTCTGTTTCATGAGCGTATAAGACTGCTTATTTCTCCACAACCTTACTGGTACGGAATATTATAATTATTTTTTTCATCCTTATATGTTATGATAAGTAAAATAAATAAATAAATAAATAAATAAATAATTTCCCATTATTGATTTAAAGTTTGCCTTTTTAAATTAATGAGGTTGAGCATATTTTGATGTTTACTAACCATTTAAATTTCTATTTTGGAAGTTTTCTGTTTACATAATATTATTAATATTTTGTCTAATATAGGTTAAATATATTTTTCCCATTTCTGGTTTGCTTTTATTAACTTTATTTTTTAATTTACAAATACTCAGACAAGGGAAACAAAAGAAAAAATATACCAAGGGGACTACATCAAACTAAAAAGTTTTTGCACAGCAAAATAAATAAATAAATAAATAGACAGCCTACTAAATGGGAGAACATATTTGCCAATAATACATCTGATAAGGGGTTAACATCCAAAATTTATAAAGAACTCACACTACTCAACACCAAAAAAACAAACAAACACCAAACAGTTCAATTAAAAAATTGGCAGAGGATCTGAATAGACAATTCTCCAAAGAGGACATAGAGAAGGTCAATAGACATATGAAAAGATGCTCAATGTCATTAATTGTCAGAGAAATGCAAATTAAAACCACAATGAGGTATCACCTCATACCAGTCAGAATGGCTATCATAAGTAAATAAATCCACAAATGATAAGTGTTGGTGAGGATGTGGAGAAAAGGAAACCCTCATGCACTGTTGGTGCAGCCACTATGGAAAACAGTATGGAGGTTCTTCAAAAAATTAAAAATGGGACTGCATTATGACCCAGTAATGCCAATTCTAGGTGTATATCTGAAGGAATCCAAAGCACTAATTCAAAATAATATATGCATACCTATGTTCATTGAAGCATTATTTGCAATAGCCGACCTATGGAAGCAACCCAGATGCCCATCAGTAGATGAGTGGATAAAAAAGCTGTGGTACATATTTACAATGGAATATGGCCCTCTCATAAAAAAGAATGAAATTTTACACTTTGTGACAGCATGGATGGACCTGGGGAGTATTATGCTCAGTGAAATAAGTCAGCCAAAAGAAAGACAAGTACCGTATGATTTCACTTACATGTGGATTCTAAAGAACAAAATAAATGAACAAACTAAACAGAAACAGATTCATAGATACAGATAACAGACTGATGGTTACCAGATGGGAGGGGGCTTGGGGGGCTGGGTGGAAAAGGTGAAGGGATTAAGAAGTACAAATTGGTAATTACAGAATAGTTTCAGGGATGTAAAGTATAGCATTGGGAATATAGTCAATAATACTGTAATAACTATAAATGGTGCCTGGTGGGTACTGGACATATGGTGGGGGGGGCACTTTCTAAGTTGTATCATTTCCAATCACTGGGTTATACACCTAACACTAATATTATATTGTATATCAACTGTAATTGAAACATAAAAAGTATCTAAAAATAAAGTAAAATAATCTACTTGCCATGAACAAAAGAATCGACAAATATTTTAAAATTTTATATAGCTAGGTATATCACCCTTTAAAAAAAAATCTTTATTTTTCAGATTATTACAGATGTTCCTCTTTTTTCCCCCCATAGCTCCCCTTATCACCCTTTTCTTTGGTCACCTCTGAGTTCCTTGTTGTAATTAGAAAGGACTTGAATTACTTTAAGATTAAATTTGTATAATTACTTAGAACTACTCTCGTTTTTTTTTTGTTGTTTTTTTTAAAAATTTTTTTTTAAAATATATTTTATTGATTTTTTACAGAGAGGAAGGGAGAGGGATAGAGTGTTAGAAACATCGATGAGGGAGAAACACCGATCAGCTGCCTCCTGCACATCCCCTACTGGGGATGTGCCCGAAGCCAAGGTACATGCCCTTGACTGGAATCGAACCTGGGACCCTTCAGTCCGCAGGCTGACGCTCTATCCACTGAGCCAAACCAGCTAGGGCCTACTCTCGTTTTTTAATTGATTGGAATTGCCATTCTCAAAGGGAACCAGAGACTACTGTCAGAATTCATTATTTAGCAAATTTGTATTAAGAACATATCTTATTGTAGATTCTTTGCGAGGTCTGGCAATTAGCAAGGCTTTAAGAAACCATCCCTGCCTTAATTCTAGCTAGCTAAACAGACCCCTAGGGACTTATGATAGTACCTACCTCTTAGAGTAGCTTTACAGGCTTAAATGAGATAATAACATATACAATGCTTATAACTTTGCCTGGCATTGAGTTAATGTAAAATAAAATGTTAGTTATTACTCTTATTATTTTTAAATTTCTATTATAACCCTCTAAGTGTTATAACTCTTATAAGAACTTAGTAGAAGAAGCATTCTGTTTTGTGTGTGTGTGAGTGTGTGTGTGTGTTTGTCTGTGGAAGATTTCAAAATAGTTCCTGTATTTGAAAAGGGAATTGAAAGACGAGTTATATGGTAGGAAGAAGAGCATTCCAGGCAGAAAGCAAGATTTTACAGGAATATCAATAGCTATAATATACAGAGATATAAAAAGGGCAGAATATAAGGCCAAACAAATAAGTTGGGGCCTTGAATGTCATGCTAAGAAGTTTGAATTAACTTCACTGTCATTGTGAGGACAAACTCCTTCACCCATTCATTCAACAAATATGTTTTTGAGCACCTATATGAACCAGGCACTATTGTAGGCACCGGGGATACAGTGGTGGAATTAATTTAGATAAAATCCAAGATGACCTGGAATTTAGATTTAGTTGGATAAATCAGTAAACAAACAGATTAGCTAGTTAATTACCCATTGTGATAAGTAGTACCAGAATGAAAATAAACAGAATGACAATAGAAGATAACACTAGTTAGAAAGGTATGAAAACTGCAAGCCAGTCAGGTTTCACTTATCTGTGGAATCTAATGACAAAACAAAGTAAGAAACAAAATAGAAACAGACTCATAGATACAGAGAACAGACTGACATCGGTCAAATGGGAGGGGAATTGGGGGTTGGGTGAAAAAGGTGAAAGGATTAAGCAAAAATAGACAAATTCATAGAACAGTATGGTGATTGCCCGAGGGAAAGGGGATGGGGGAAGGTAGAGGTGGGTAAAGGGGGAAAAATGGTGATGGAAGGAGACTTAACTTGGGGTGTTGAACACAAAATACAATATACTGATGATGTATTTTAGAATTGTATACCTGAAACCTACATAATTTTATTAACCACGTAATCCCAATAAATTCAATAAAAATAAAAATAGGAAAAAACAAAAAACCCTGCAGGTTCAAAAGGATAATAAGAAATTTGCCTAGTAAAGATATCTCAGGAAAGCTACAGAAGAGAACCCCTGAATTTAAAATTCATAAAAGAAAGGTACTCATGATTTGGTATTTGATGAAAATCATCAAAAGGGACAAATGTTTGTGTACCACTTCCACTTATGCATAGTTATAACCACAGTGAGTCAGTTATAACAATTACTGTCTCTAGTAAAGTGGTCAGTTAGGTTTTCCATAAACTTAAACTGGCTACCTCTCCTTAAGCCTTCTGGCTAAATCAGAGTAGTTTAGCTTAGTTATATCAGCATTACTTCTTTTTGGGGGGGAGGGGGCGTTAATCCTCACATGAGGATTTCATATAG